GAGGGTACAGAGATGCTGAGGGGCCTGGAGCATCTCTGTGCTGAGGAAAGGCTGAGGGACTTGGGTGTGTTCAGTCTGGAGAAGAGAAGGCTGAGGGGGGATCTGATCAACACCTCTAAATCCTTCCAGGGTGGGTGTCAGGAGGATGGGGCCAGGCTTTTTCCAGTGGTGCCCAGGGACAGGACAAGAGGGAACGGGCACAAACTTGAACATGGGAAGTTCCACCTGAACATGAGGAGGAACTTGTTTGCTGTGAGGGTGGCAGAGCCCTGGCAGAGGCTGCCCAGAGAGGTGGTGGGGTCTCCTTCTCTGGAGACATTCCAACCCCCCCTGGACACGTTCCTCTGGGGCCTGCTCTGGGTGGCCCTGCTGTGGCCGGGGGTTGGACTGGGTGATCTCCAGAGGTCCCTTCCCACCCCATGTGATTTTGTGATTCCATGAGTAGAAGTGTTATATTTGCAGGAAAGATTTGGTAGCCCAAGTGACTTATTTCCCAGAAATGGCAAAAACAGGGAGAAGCCACCACTGCAGCAGCACTGAGCTGCCTCAGCTGGTTTCTTTTGGTCGGGGAGTTAGCTCGGAGGAGTGTTATTACAGAAATACAATAGAGAAGTGAAACCTGCCTGGTTTTCTTTTTGAAGAAACTGCCCAACTCTGTTTCTGCTCAGCAATAACATAGTCAAATGAGCAGGAGCTATCGGAACAAAGCTGTGAAGGCCAGGGAATTAAATCTGCAGATGTTTGTGATAAATAAGAAGCAAATTCCTGCTGACTACAGGGCTGGGAGCTTGAAGTGAAATCTCTTACCTCCTTTCAAGTGGAATGGCTTAGCCTTTGAAATGGGGAGAGCTGCAGGTTCCTGTAAACCCTCTTAAAACTCAGAGTATAGGTTAAATCTCAGGTAACTTGCAACAGGGAGTTGTGAATGAAGCCTGTGAGTTTCTGTAAGTGTATATAGTGAATTGCATGTGTAAAGATACCATTTAAAAAGAAGTGTAGGGTACTTCTAGGAATAACTCATCAGCTTGGTAGTGTCGATTGAAAAAACCAGCACAGCTTCTGTGAGGTGTTACCGGTTCTGCTGGTGACACCGCTGTTTGAAAGGCTTTGGGTACGTATCTTGGCTTGTAATAACCTTGTTTATCAGGTGACAGTTCTGTACAAAGTATAATGCAGACGTGGTACGGTTTATTACCTCGTCTGGCAGAGCATATTTGGGTGCCATGAACTGTACCAGCTGCTTGAGATATCATTTCCTTGCTGGTTTGCATAATCTTGGGTCAGCTCTTGTTGTGTGATGTTACCTGTGTACAGTGCCCTGGCAGGGGACCATTAACCAACGCCAGCTATTCCTGAGCCCTGTCCCCTCACCCTAAGGAGCCCTGTACTTTCGGGGACATGAGGAGTGGGAGCCAAAAGGAAGTTGAGCGTTTTGCCTGTTTAAATTTTTGCAGTTTGCATACCTAGAGTAAGAACTTCCTGGGTTTTTCTTATTTGTGTGTTCTGCATTGAAGGACATCTGCCCATTCTCAGCCTTTGAACAGTATTGCTTACAGTGTGAATGGAATTAAAAATATACAACTGGGCCTCTGTGCAACTGCACGTTTATACAGCTGATTTTTTTTTTTTTTCCAGTGCTATTTGTTTTTATTTGAGCCTCAACACGTAGTGACCTAAATGACCAGAGAGCTGTGGCAGTTGTGAGAGAGTTTCTCCTTTGGAAATAAGTACAACGGGGGAGACTGAAGAGAAGAGCTGACACAGGCAAAGGGAGCTAAACAAACATAACTACTCCTAGAGACATATTCATAACTTCTTTCCTCGTGGTAGTATCATGGGAACACTATAGCAGATGCTTAAGTGGAGATTCTAGATAGCCAAACATCTTTAGAGGAAACTTATTAAGGAGCTTTCATCTAAGCTAATATTTTCAGTCTTTGAGATTCCTATGATCTCTAAATCCTTCAGTGATTTGAGCTGTAATAAAACTTCATTTAGAATTTCTGTCTGAACTCCCTACTCCTCCACAGGAGCTCTGTGCTGGATGAAACAGAGGAATGGTGGAAAACGGCCTCATATCAAGTAAACACTAAGCTCATTAAGTCCCACAACCTCAAAGAGTTTGGCTTCGAGAGCAGCCCAGCCCGGGAGACAGCCTGTCTGATTGCCCTCTCAGTGAGCAGGGCTTTGTAAGTCTCTCCATGTCTAAAGGCAAGAATTCCGTAAAAATGTTTTGTCTGGAGGTCTGTTAAGAAACTGTGTCTTCAGTATGCAATTTTACAGGGGAATTAAGGAAATGGAAGTCCAGAACAGGTGAAGTTAGGACTAAAGAGAGGTTAAGAGTGGTTTTGGCACCTTCTTGCATGTAAGTACCTACAGCTACTCTCGATACTCCAGCTGGGACAAAGGTGTGACACCAAAGGATGTCTTTGACCACAGACCTGGTTTTTAAAACCTCACTTCACCTACACTGAAAGAACCAGAAACAAAAGGTACTGGTAGAATTACCCGGTCGATTCTGAGCTAGGACATAGCAGATGGATCCGATACCACAAGGTACCACTTTGCTCTGTAATCTCTCTGCTTTGTGTTGCCTTTTTGACTGTGCCAGCACGGATTTATGCTGGATTAAAGTAACTGTATAACCACAGATTCAGGGATAGAAATACAGCAGAACCTCTCTTGATTTCAGTGCTTTAAGAGATCTTCTGGCAAGGCATTTAGTTATTTAAATGCTCTGCAAGAAAACTGGAGTCCTAATGCTCAGCCTTCCTTTTACCTCTTTCATACCAGAAAAATACACTTTTAGTATGTGCTGAGATATCTTTGGTTTTCCATTGCACACGGTCGTGTCTGAACCCCTTTAAGAATCTCTGCCTTAAACAGTCTTATTGAATATATTGTTACAAAAATGGTCAGTCCAAGTTCTTTTGGTTAATCCATAAAACTCTGCAAATGTAGATAACTCCTTCATCCGGAGGAGTTTATTTCAAAATCGTCACGCTATAAAACACTTATTCCTGAGGTTCCAGCTTTAGTGGTGGTTTTTAACATCATCTTTCCCCGGGCTTTTTTTGTCTATTAAACAATTCCAGCTGGCAGAGGAGGATGGAGCACTTCCCTAAGTGTTCCCACGATCCCAAAGAGGGGAGCGTGACCCCCTGACCACGTGCCAGCTTTCCTGCCTCGACGTAAGAGAGAGCGGGAGGTAAAGACAATACTTGGTGAGAGAGATCCCCTGCCTGAGCTCTGCTGCTGGAGCTGGGCAGGCCTAGGCCATCTAAAATAGTCTCTTTCTCTGGGGCCTGAGAGGTTAGTAGCAAAAAGTGAGTAGTTCTTGCTTCCCCTGAACATCTGATGAAGATAAGTAAGACATTTTTGCCATGAGTCAGGTTGGTGATCAATTTGGGGTCACTTTCCAACACAAGTAATTTCACTCCAGATTTGCTTCTCATGTTACCCAAGTATTTAAAGAATACGGGGGGGGGGGGGGTT